GTTAATGAGCAGCTACCTGAGTGATAGGAAAGTAGGGTTTTTCACTGACACCTTCCAAATAATCAAAGACATAAATAGAGGTTGTATGCACGGTTCCCACTGTGGGCCAGGTATATGGAACCTGGTCTATGACACTTTATTAAGCATTATCCCCATGGAAGAAAAGAACATGAAAATACAGGGCTTTGCCGATGATATGCTTCTACTCATAAGGGACCAGAATCGTGACATCCTACAACTCAAAGCAAATGAGACTTTACGAAAGATTCTTACCTGAAGTAAGACCAATAAATTACCCATCAACTATGATAAATGTGAAGCACTGGTCTGTACCAGAAAAGCTAATAGAAAGCAGCTACAGCAACCCTTATGGCTATACATTGACAACCATAAGATCAAAATCACATCACATCTAAAATACCTTTGTGTATACATTGATCCAACACTGAGTTGGAAGTTTCACATCGAGGAACTATGTAAGACTAGTAGCCCGGGACGCCCCCTAGTGGGCGTTATTTACAAATTTTCATGAGGCACAGTTCCTTTGACTTTTTTGTTCCTATCAGTATGCTCTACAGTTCCGTTAAAGTCCCAATGGTAAGATTTACCCTCCGAATGAAGGGGTGGCAACCCTCCAAAATGTAGCCCCTCTGTGCGAACAATAAAGTCAAAGGAGCCATACCCCTACTCGCGACCCTTCGCGAGATATAAGCCCGTAAAAATTCGCCTACGTCATTTCCGGTCACGTGACATCGTGGTCAAAAGGGAGCCTACTGCGCGAAAAAAAATTAACGCGCGCTCGCCCACACTCAGGGGGGTCGCCGACCCGCTCATTCGCAGGGTAAATTCTGACAAACAGGCGGTCACGTGACCCGTAGAATAATTTTCAGAGGGCTATATCTCGGGAAGGGTTGCGCGTACGGGGATGGTTCATTAGACATTTATTGTTCGCACAGAGGGGGGTCGCCATTCCCTTTATTCGGAGGGTAAATCTTACCGTCCCAATCGCGTCATACGGATCTATATTTGTATCTATTAAACATTCTATAAATACTTTAAAATAGTTTAATTTGTTTATTTACCTTCGCTTGTAAACCTCAATTTTACCTTATATTACCTTAATTAATTAATTAACTATTTCAAACTTTATCGTTTTACGTAGTGATTCAAACCTATCTGGTTTTTCGTTACTCGTCCCCTAGTTAACATTATATGCATTCCGTGACAATAATAAATTCCTATTACAAATATAATGAATGGGTTATATTGTTATATTGACCAAATAATAATTTATTGGCCAAATGAATAATAATAATTCATATTGTTAATTTAAATAAGAATTAAAATTTTAATTTGAATGTTTGAAATATGACACACGATAGGGGTGCCTCTAGTGTCCGTTATGAAACGGTTACGGGACGGACACGAAATGAATGGGTTATATATATAGATATGCCAACGTGTCAACACCATCCATCATATAGCCCGCAACACTTGGGGGATTGGCAGTAGGAACATCAATCTCATTTATAAAGGTGCTATTGAGCCAGCACTGCTATACGCAGCACAGATTTGGGGAAGAAGGCAAGGTTGGTGCACAATAGAAGGAAATTACTCTCTATTCAAAGGGGTATGGCATTAAGAATATGCAGTACCTATCGCACTGCACCCACGGATGCACTGCTAATAATTGCCAACATAACACCAATTCACCTGAAGATCAAAAAGCTAGTATGGACCTGGCAAATAAATAATACTAATTTTGGCTTAAACTCTGACCAAGAGACACAAGATACCACCTGTAAAAAAATCTATCCATTGGACAGTCAGGATCTTATACAAAAAATAAAGCAATTTAAACTCGATAACTATCTCACATGGCTGGGCGCTGACCATCACCTGGCTGACATTGGCAAGCTAAACATCAACTATAGTAACAGAGAAACTGTTAAGGGCGGCTGGAACACCTTTACTGACAGCTCAAAAAGTAACATCAGCACCGGAGCAGCATTCATTATTTATAACAGCAACTTAACCCACATCAAACATCAAGAATACTCTAGACTTCACCCATACTGTTCGATCAACCAAGTAGATCTCTGGGCAATGCTCAGAACCCTCATTCATGTCACTGCAAATCAGAAAAATTATAACAGAAGTATAAATATTAACACAGATAATAAATACGTTCTAAATATCCTCAATTATAAAGGCAAAATCACTTTCAATGGAGCCAGAATGAACCATCTTGCCCATAACCTTAATAAATGCAAGAACATCACCTTTTACTGGGTCCCTGGCCATACTGGAATCAGGGGCAACAAGGAAGCAAATAATCTGGCAAAAAGGGGCGGCTACATTCAATGCTAACTATGCCTTCAGCAGAATATCTCCTACCTATGTTAATAATATATAAGCAAGAGGAAACTTGATAACTGGCAGGAGGAGTGGGAATCTTCCAACACAGGAAGAACTACTTACAAGTTTCTCTCATCCATCCACAAATGTCAGCAGTATAATTTCATCATTCCCATTTACGAGCTAACACAAACCCTCACAGGGCATGGCAACATACCAAGCTATCTCCACAGATTCAAGAAGCGTAACAAGTGCGAGTGCAACAATGACTCAACTGGTGAGTTATTTCACATTCTGTGGGACTGCCCCACCCAAGATAGTGTGTGGCAGCCTCTGTACCAACATTGTGCCCTACATGATCAAAACTGGCCGCCTAGACCAGACTTTCTGTGTGAATCTAAAGAAACGTTTAACATGTTCCACAACTTCATATGGAACTGTAAAGTTTTTAACACTTGGCAAAGCAACCTGACAACATAATGGATGTTCTTCCAACCCTAAGTGCAAGACCCCAACAGGACTTCTCAACTATCATTAAGCCAAAATGGCACTCAGTGTAGGCAAAAAACAAATGTAGGCAAAAATATATCATTGTATATAGTCTTAAGTGTATAACCATTGTTTACTTGATCATCGGCCAGAATGGCACTCTGTTGTATGTATTTTGTATTTTTGTATTTTAATTGTTAAAATAAGGCAATACAAGGAAGGCATCAGCAGGGTCCCAACTCCTCTTATCCTTCCTATCACAACCATCCCCACTTCCAATTCCACTTCCATTCCCACTCTTCATATCCTCCCCCAACCTTCACCTTCCTCTTTCCACTCCTCCTTTTGGGCTAAGTCTAAGGACAGCCATCTATCTGTACTAAAAGTAAAAGTATATATATGGAGGGATAAAGCAACTTAAAATCTAATACTGTGGTATATTTATCATCAACTAGTTTTTGTGGATCGTCACAGGTAAATTCATAACTTTGCAAATGCGTGACCAATATTTCATGCATCTTGCATTCTAAGTGATGAGCCTAACTTTAGGTCTGAATTGTTTCCTGGTTTGTATGCTTTTGCAAATAGATTATTTATCTAGGTGTATCTGGGGATATTACTGAAGTCTCTAAATGTAAATGTTTCGCTAAGGCAGTGTGCATAAACCTGACCATACTATTCTGCAATTTGTCTCTGTAATCATCACTTACCTTATGACAATTTGTTGTGCTAATATAATCCTCTAGCTGAGTCTTATATCAATAGGTCTCTTTTTTCGTTAACACAAAGGCTTTGGTTTTGTCCACCTTTATTAAGACTGTCATTATCAATGAGCCATCTTCTACTGGCTCTAATTTTATTCCAAAAAAGCCTATCATCTTCTTCTACTCTTGCATTTTGTACTGAGAAGAACACTTTTCATCTTTACATCTCCTTGTGGGTTTCTTTCATTTTATTACATACCTTTTCTATATTTGTAACTATTACTATCAGCACTTCTAGACACTTTATTGGACCACATACATTGGTCCATTTTTAATTACCTCCATCAAATAACTGGGAGGGGAGATATCATCCCAACAAATTAGAGAAATCACATCAATCCATTTCTGCCGAAGGAACTGTCACATAAAAATTCATCTCAATTTCTTGATGTATTTCTTATGTAAAGATGCTGAGACTTTTTTCTAAATCATTTACTTTCCTGTTTACTTCTTTCAATAATTCAGTATCTTTGGAGTGCATTTCATCTTCATGTTGAGTAAATTGATGGTGCTTAGACTACATTTGATGTCTGATGTTTTGATTTGCTTTTTTAAACATAGTCTTTAACTTATGTTATAATGATTCACACCCAGCTGGTAACTTCACATGATAAATAGTCATCAGAAACACATTGCATTGAAGTAAAAAAATTCAACTTGCTTTCATTCTAGTTAAGGTTAACATTATTCTATTTTTTTAAAAAAAGTTCTTTTATAAAAGTGTCAAACTTTTGAAAAGTTAACAATTTTTTTATATTAAAATTGATTCATAACAAAAAAGGCATCAAGGTTAAAATTATGAAATTTCTACTTGCTTACTATTGCTATTATTTATTCATTATTTTATACAGTAATACTCCAAACTTATGCGATAGGTGGGCCCGAGTGATAATTGCTTAAGTCGAATTCGTGTAAGTTGGGGTATAATTTCACAATTTGTGAAAAATCCAAATCGGATGTATGTAAGCTAATAAATGTTCTCGTTAATCTTATCTTGTCTTTTCATTCATTCACGGTTACAAGAAATCACCACATAGAGTCTCTCAAGTCTCCGTAGATATAACAAACACAGAAATAAATAACACAAAATAAATTGTAGCTATGTGTTGATTCCATGCAGCACGTCTGAACGTGTAAGCTAAACAATAGTGTGGGGGAGTGAGTAATCAAGAGTTGCGTGACGCTCAAACAAAAGCGAATCAACAAGATTTGAAAATCACGTAACTCTGGGTTCGCGCAAGTCGGGGTGTTACTGTATATTCAAGTTATAAATTGAAAATTTAACTATAGTAAGTCTTGCTACTATTAATCTAATAATTAAAATAAAATATGAAATGTTTCAAACTTTTACAAAACTTTGCTTTACATTTATAATTTAATTTTTTTTAGTGGTGGACATCCTTATATTACTGGTTTAGCAATTGCTGGAGGAGTATTTTGTTTGGGATTTGAAGGAGCATTATTTGGTCCATTATTACTCTGTTTTTTCTTTGTTGCTATTAACATGTACAGTTCAATGATGCAAGATACTCCAGTGGAAGAAACAATACATCCTAGTAGTAGGCATGCACTGAAAAGGTATTTTAAAATAAGAAATGAAAATTTACATGTATATATTATTATTTCTAATATATGATAATATAAAATAAATTTAGTGAATAATTTTTCAGTTTTTTCTAGAACTCAATGATGTTTTTAATCTTTAACGTTTTTACAAATGTTGTTCTAAAGCATTATACAAGACTGAGAACTTACTTTTCACTCAAATGATTTAATGAGGATATGTAAAATAAATGCATAAAAATAATGTAAATAAACTTATGAGAGAATTCTGATGAAAATAGTTTTTATCAAGTGAATTTATTAATTTTAATAATAGAAAATTTCTTTCTATTTTGAAATCACTTTTTCATTGTTATTTAGGACTGGAGATTTTCTTCTCTTAAATTTAAAATAATAATTTACATAAGTTTTTAAAATTTTATACCTAATTTTTCCAATAAAATTTTGCATTTTAATGAAGCAAAAAGCTTTATTTTAATTTTTTAATTTTATGACTATGTACTTAGTATTTTTCAATGTTAAGCTAATATTTTTAAAAAGAATGAACTTTTCTTAATATTAAACATAGTATTATGTATGTATTTTTTCAAAACTTTGCATCGAATAAGTGTGTTTTTCATGATTATTTGTCTGTTGCACATAAAACTAACAGGAAATATTTCTAATACATACATTATATTAAGTTAAAGGTCATTAATATTAACAAGTTTTATGATATTGTTTAAGATAATAGATTTTTGCATTGTACTGTTTTGAAGGTTTTTAGTATTTAGAAATAGTATAAACTTACTTGCTATGAATATGATATTAATGATTAGCATGAAAAATCATTAATATGAAAAGCATTAATAGTTAAGATTGTTTTTCTGTATTTATTTCAGCAACATTGAGTCTTATAAAACATTACCTATCAAATTTTTTTTGAGAAATATTTAACTTAAAGCAATTGTTCACAATATTATTTTTTTATATGCAGTTACAACTTAAAGGTCTTTCTAATTGGAAATAGGGTATAAACCTTTTTCTCTTGCATGGTGCTAAAATTTCTGAAACTGAAGCTATGATGTAATTTCTGAAATGGTTAAACTTTTGGAAATTACATTGTCTGCAGAAAATTTTATTTAAGCAAAAGTGTTCCTTAATTAGGAATAATTGCTCATAAATTGTGAATTTAATCCTAAAATCATATAAATAAATATAACTGATGGCAATGTTTTATATATATAATTTTTTGTATGTGTTGTGTGCAAGCTTTTTGTGTTGTTAAGTTATATCTGTTCAAGTAATTTGTGCATGCTAAGCATTTGCATTGTAATGTGATATCTCATCACAGTAGTCATCTATAAATGTTATGATTTGGAGATCTTTCTACACTCAACCAGAATAAATGCTACTTCTTGACAGTATTGGAAATTTAACATTATCAAGAACCATGTTTTGTAGGATAGAATTTAAATTTTGGATAGTTTTAAAAATTCTAATGCTTAATGTTACATGATTGTCATATAAATTGGCATGTGTGCCATCTAATTTTAATTTGTATTGAAGTAGTTAATATATAATTTTAGATACTTCTAGCTTGCTTTCTCATTACATTTTTTTTTTTTTTTTAAATAACAAATTTTGTTTTAACTACAGATATTCAAAATTAGCCAACTATGAAACAAAATTTATTTATGTAAAATAAAATTTGAATTATAATTAATTTTATTATGATGATGATGAAAATTCAATGAGGAATGTTTTCTAGATCCTCACTATAGTGAAAATTGGACAATATCCAAATAAAATGACTGATTTGGATTTCATTGAAGGCCAAGTGTACCATATTTTTTTTAAAGTGACTCTTGATTTCTATATTTGGTTGAATATGTTTTATAAATATTGGGTATTACTTGTATGCTATTTATAAGAATAAACATTTCAGTTCTAAATATTTATTGCTGTTTCATTATAAAATAATAATTTTATTTTGTTAATTAAAAAAAATAAATATGTAAATAAATTATTTTTTTTATAATTGATTTTAATTAAATATTTTTATATACTTATTTTTTAGTTAATTAATTTTTTCTTATTAATTATTCTTTTTATGATTTATTTAATACCATATATTATACAGAGACTACCTTTTCACAATTTATAATATTCAAATTTCTTTTCTGTCCATACATCTTATTGTTTTAATTTTAATGAAACTATTTGCATTTCTTCTACTTTCCATGATGGACACTAAACACATAATTTAGAAAATCTTGTTTTGATTATTTACTACAATAAAAACTTATAATAATAAAGTTTCAGTGTCATTTTATGTAGTAAATATTTATGAAATTGAGGGGGAAAAACTGTTACAGACATCTAATGAATTTTAAATGTTTTTCTAGAAAGTATAAAAAATGTTTATTATGTAATTTGTTCTCTCTCTCAAATAGTCATTGTTTAAAAATATATAAATATATTATATATTAATATATATCAATACAATAATAAATATATTATTAATATATAAAAACACATTTAAACATAGAAGGTAAAATGAAAATATTTAAACATCTCTCTATGCTTACAACATGAAATGAAATGTTTTATGTAGTAACAAATCATAATTTTTACTATTTGCAATAAAAATAATTTCTTACTTTTATATTAATGTTTTATATAATTCTGTATTTATAAGTTGTGAAAAGGTAGAATTTTTTAAGATTCAACATTTCACTTAGCAACTGATAACTTAAACCACAACAAATTCAACAGAAATAACCAGGTACTATTAAATTTATTGAAACTAAAAATTTTTGAAAATAATTTTATACTTACAAATAAATTAATTGCAAGAAAATGAACAAGATTTAAATTTTGAATATTAATTTAAGACAAAATACTCACCCAGATCTTGTCATTTTTTCTTTGTATATTAATTCACACTAAACTGATGTATTTTATTATTTATAGTAAGAATTTATATGCATATACTGCACTGTATTTAAATTTTGTAACAATGATTATTTTTGTTGAATTTACATATTCCAATTTCAGAACATGTAACAAACATTAGAATTTAATTATATTCCAATGTTTGACTTATAATAAACTAAATATTAAATCTTCAAGCCAATAATATGAATTTGATATTAAAGAATTATTGCATATGTAATTTTACTAATCTAAATGTGTATTGGTTTACAAAATTTTCAACTAATAATACAGGTATATCTCGAGTTATGTCATTCTCGATTATACGTCATTTGTCAAAAAATATATGGAAAAATAAAAATCAAGTTTAAGTCATTTTATTGTCTTTATGTCCATCCGCCACAAATATTGAAGTCATAATATCACTATAAAAGCATTAAAGCACACAAAATCATATTAAAATATGTAAATTTACAGTAAATGTTAATATAATCATCATAAATCCTAGAGAACAAAACATGAAAACATCTCTGTTGTCATCTTATTTAGCGGTCTTTAAGTGCTCAATATTGGTGTTTTCCATGGTAGCTCCAATATCTACCGTTTGACATCATTGTCAGCGCCGCTTGATATTGGTAAATTTAATATAAATTAGTTTATTTTCTACTGTCGCAAGATAATTTTAATAACTATATATGTTATTTAACCTTACAAAATCATCATATTTTATAATGTCTTAGAGCAAACCACATTCACAAATAAATAGTCCATGATGTACTGTAAACATTGCCAAATTGTAAACATATACTGTACATTTACAAGTATGTACTGTACGTATGTGAATTTGTAAATTTAGATTACTTTTTTCTGTACTATATTAAAAACTAAAATTTATTTGTTTGTAAGCTTAAAATAGATTCTTATTAACCATATATTATTAAAAATTCATTTATAAATAAAATACAAAACTGGGAATGGTTATTTGTGGTTTAGCCTAGTGACAAGTAAATTCGGAGAGAAGTAAATTTGACTTACGTCATTTTTTGACTTAAGTCGCCTCTCCTGAAACCTATTACCGATGTAAGGCGAGGTATACCTGTACCATTTTGAATAAAAAAAATAACCAAACGTTTTAAAAATCTAAAAATTCAGTTGATTAGTTTTTACTCTTTTACAAACTATAATAATTATTCTGTAAATAATTTTGTATAAAAGTTTTCATGAAATGTGTTTATTAAAGATAAATTAATTGGATCATTTTTTAAATAAGCACCTTCCAAAAGCAAGTTTATGGGTTTGTTTTCAGATGCAGGCTTATTTTGGTGCTGTTGTTTTGGAGATGATAAACCTCTCCCTAAAATGAAGGAAGGGCAATGTGTTCGATCTTTCTAGTCAATAGATTAACTCCCTGTTATAGTAATTTAGCCTGTTCTCAAGGGTTGTGCCTTTTCAGATGTGTAGTCCTTAAGAAATCAGGCAATGTTAATAATCATATAAATATGAGCTATGTTTTTAATATCTATAAGTAATTTAACTAGTTTTATTTTATGATAAATTTATTTAGTACTGTAAACTTTTCTAGAAAAGAGTTATCTATTTCCAATGCTATAAATAGAAGATTCCATTAGTTAGATCCATTTCTGTGGCAGAAATCCTTGGATGGTATATTTGACTAGCAAGTTGGTGTCTATGGAAACTTTGAGAATTTATCCACATAATTTTCATTAATAAATAAGTTTCCAAAAGAGACTTTTTGTCATTAGTATTTTAAATTGAAAAAATCTAGTTTTGTAACCCAAGAATTTACTTATGAAAATAGCTGATATTTATGAAATAAGTCAGTACTCATTAATATTAAACTGACTCCACAGTATTTGCTGAATGATGAGCAGACATTTGGCAAATACCAATTAGTGTGGATATTTAGTATTTGCAGTTTCCCATTCCTTGTTGGTATATTGTACTGAATCAAATAGGACAAATCTTGGACAAACATTTGTAATATCTGTAACTGATGTTTGGCAATTAATAGTGTTTACATACATGCTTATCACTTTACAAACACTTCAGCAAATACTTTGATAAAAGGTATTTACTTG